CAAACAATGTCACAGCTTTACGGACAGAGGGTCGGTTTAAAAAGATGTGTTTCTCGCTTCAGCACTGCACGCATGTGTCTTGCACGTCTCTAACAGCTACACGGATGGAGTTTGGTTTTTGCTGCAGCGCCGCGTGCATTCATTTTAAGCCTTTTCACTAGCTTCACAGATGTATGGGGCTAATTTTTAAACTGTGCCCCTCGCCTCAGCACCGCGCACATTCGTCTTATTTGTTTGCAACAGTTTCACGGATGGACGGGGGGGTCGTTTACAACATGGTTTGCACGTTTTCGCGCCGCTCGCATTCGTTCTAAACATTTTCGCACTGGCTTCGCGGATGGAGGTCGGTCCTTCTTCAAAGAGGGGCTCTCCTTTGAGCGCCATCTCACATGTTGCAAGAGTTTAGAGGATTGAGATGATGCCTTTCAGAATGGAGCTCTTGCCTTAGCGTCGCGCGCATTTGATCTTGAATCCAGGGCGGAGGACTGCTGCTTCTGAACCTGCGGCTGTCGCCGTGGCTTCCGTTATGCTGAAAACACCCAGAAGCGTACGAAGCGCTGCACAGATCCATGGTGTCCCGTTTGCATACTGACCCGGTGTTTGAGCTTTCCTGGAAGTTCACGACAGCACGTGTAAGCTTATGCAACAGTTCAACAGTTATACGGATGCGGGGAGGCTTCCTTCTTCGACCGGGGGTCTGGTTGGAGCACCTCTGTATGATCATCGTCGCGTTCCCGGTTTCGCAGCAGACGAGAGGCACGGCAATGTTTACAAGTTGTGGCTCTCGCCAACACGGCAAGTCCAATTGTGTTCGTCGTTCAAGGGGGCGGCGTTCCTTGTAGAAAAAAGGGGGAATGGTATGGACGTGTGTGGAGAGGGCTTGAGATGGGAGAGTGTATCGCCGCATGGCTTACGACCTGCTTGGCTTACTCTGGTCTTCCTGCTTCTCCTCCTCATCCTCCTTCCTCCTCCTCCGCCTCCGCCTTTTCCTCCCCTCCTCCCACCCGCTGTGCCCATCTATGGGTCTATCTGAGGTTGGGGGGTGAGGGCGAGGTGGCCCCAACCAGGAACTCGATTTCGGTTCGTGTCGTGTCGTGCGTGCGTGCGGGCGGGCCGAAGCTGCGTGATGGCGACGATGTGTCGGCCTAGGCTACGGGCTAGGGCCACGTCGGGCAAACTGCTTCGCACTCTGGTGTCTCGCCGTGGGATGTCCCGTGGGATGCTCTGTGGGTTGTCCCGTGCCTGCTCCGTAGCTGTCCCGTGGTTGCTTTGTGCTTGTCTTGTGGATGTTCCCGTGTTTTGTACCGTAGTTGCCCTTGGGATGTCCCGTGGGTTGTTCCGATGCTATTGTAGGTTGTTCCGCGGGTTGCCTGTGGGTTGGCCCGTGGTTGTCTCGTGTGGTGTCCAGGGGATGTCCCATCGTTTTCCCGCGGGTTGTCCCGTGGTTGTCCCGTGATTCCCGCTGTTGTACGGTGCGTTGCCCCTGCGTTGTTCACGTGCAAAATGAGAATCGGGAATCACATGAACGTTCAAAATATAGGCTTTTCGAAATCCAGGCCAGATCGCAAGTTTAAGTCCGGCTTGAAGATCGCATCGGAATCTACATCTAAGTTCAACGCTGAATGCAGATCGGATTCGGATTTGTCAGTTCGCAGCGATGTCCACATCGAAATGCAAACCAACTTGCAACTTGTATTACACATCGAAATGAGCATCGACATACACATCAACATTCAAACCAAACAGCACATCTGCATACACGATGCACTCATTGTACACATCGATATGCACATCGAAGTCGGAATCCGCAACGCATTCGAAATGTCTTACCGATTCCGAAACGAATTTCGATAGTCAAGCCGACATGACATTAACACGTGTTAGACTTGCACTTCGAAGCGCAAGCCGCAATGCAAATCGGATCGCAAGCACGGCTGCAATCAACATGCAATTTTAGATACACATCGAAATGGAAGTTCCGCACCCCAACCTCAATACCACCCGAAGAATGATCTATGTTGTGCAAGAAAAGGGTACGAGTGTGCATGCATGTCTGTGTACCCATCATCGTGCCTTCGTTGTTTCCTTCTCCCTCTTCTCATCCACCTGCTGGTATTCATCCCCTGTTCCTATCTGCTCCCCCAACTCCTCTTCTTCTTCTTCTTCTTCTTATTATTATTATTATTATTATTCTTCCTCTTCCTCCTCCTCCTCTTCCTCCTCCTCCTCCACCTCTCTCTTCCCCTCCGCCTCCTCCATCTGCACATTCGCTTCCTCCGCCCCCTCTCCCCCCTCTCCTCGTCCCTCGTCCCCCCCCTTCCTCCAACCCTCCCCCGTCCTGCCCCCTAGAGGCAGGAGGGAGGAGGGAGGAGGGCCCCCCCCCTCCCTCCCCCTCCCGCCCCCCCTGCCCTCCTTCTGCCCCCGGCCGTCGAGCGGTGAAGCCTCTTCGGCCCCGAGCCTGCCCGAGGGGGGCGGGCGGGCGGGCATCCTGGAGACGATCGATCCACTCAGGCGGGGGGAGGAGGAGGAGGAGGAGGAGGAGGAGGAGGAGGAGGAGGAGGAGGAGGAGGAGGAGGAGGAGGAGGAGGAGGAGGAGGAGGAGGAGAAGAGGAGGAGGAGGAGGAGGAGGAGGAGGAGGAGGAGGAGGGGAGGAGGAGGAGGAGGAGGAAGAGGAGGAGGGGGAGGAGGACAAGCTAGGTGCGCTCGCGTCATATCTGACATCCTACCCCTCCCTCCCATCCCTTACCATGGCGCAGATCCCCTCTCTACTCGCACAGTCGGATGTCGAGCAGGGCGATGATCCCGAAAGTGTACGCGATGCGTTGTAGAGCACGGCATGGCATGGCGTAGAAGAGCACCGCAAAGCGTAGTATCAACCGAGCATTGCATTGTATGCCGTGGTATGGCACGGGAAATGACGCCAGCGCTGCAGCGGGAGCACGAGTCGAAACGAGCGGAAGCGTTGAAACGAGGCCAGCGCTGCAGCGGGAGCACGATTCGGAACGAGCGGAAGCACGGAAATGAGGCCAGCGCTGCAGCGGGAGCACGATTCGGAATGAGCGGGGCCCGAAAATGAGGCTGGCGCCTCAGCGAGAGCAGCATTTGGAAAAAAATGAAGGCGAAAACCCAACTCCGGCATAACTCTTGGATAATTTGGCGACTTCCTCCGGCGGCATCTCTGCCGCACTGCGGCCCCCTCATTGGATCGGTTCGACCCGCGGCAAGTCGCCGAAGGATGGGGCCGCTGGCGTCGAATAGATGGGATCAGACGGGGCCAGGACGAGGATAAATCAGTTCGAGAGCGTTCCGGATTAGAGCGTTCCGGAACGCTGTGAGAAGGCCGGGGCGCCCTAGACATTCTCCAGTGCCGCCAGATCTCAGAGTTTCTCGATTTGTCATCACCCGATCTTATCCTCGTCCTGGCTTCGTCTTATTGGAGCGGCTGGTTTTTGGCCGCTTTCGGCTTCCAGGGGCCCTCCACAGGGCCCGGCGCGGTCAAGAGACGCTTGAGGACGAACAAAAATCCGCCGGCCCGAGGCAAGTGGTCCAGACCTTCGGGGGTCCACGCATCCAAACATCGGAGCGCGGGATGCCTGGATTCCGTGGTACAGTACATTGGAGGGCCATGCCAAGAAACACCTTGCTTGCCTCCAGGGTGCCCTGGGTTTCTTGGGTTTCGATGGTTTTGCGATGGGAAGCATGACGCTCCCACACCAATGATCCATGGACGTCCCGCGGTCTCAGGGTTGGGTTAAGCGTGACGCTCCAACACAACAAACCCGTGGACGTCCCAGGGTCTCAGGGTTGGGCTTCTTGTGGAAGGTTTCTTGTGTGCGGGCCCCTACACGCCTGTCGTTGAATGTAGTAGGTGTTTGAGGATTTCCAGATCCCAGTCTACTTCAAGCGCCTTCCTACCTCAGGAGTCGATCTGCTTTTGCTGCGCTCGTTCTTCTCTGGGAGGGCCTGATCCCAATCCACTTTATCCGCCTCCCTACTTCATGTGTTTACCTATTTCTTCCGACCGATGTGTGCTGTACAGTGGGGGCGTTGACCTGGGGAACCCTGAATAATGAACGATGCACCTTTTTCCCATACGTTAAACTTCGATTTGCCATGGAAGACCTCAGGAAAACCCGAGGCAACCTGTTGAGCAATCCAGGAGCACCGAGCCCCTCCCCAACGAAAAGGGCTCCTTCTTCATCGCCCCGACTGCAGGCCACACGACTAAGTAGGAAGGGGTTGGAAGTAGATTTGGTCTCCGCCCACCCCCTGGAGAGGAGAGAAGAGCGAAAAGCGCCAGACTCCTGAGGCAGGCAGGCGTCCAGGATATTGGGGTCTAGGGATCCAGAAGCACCTGCTCTCAACGACCCGACGCGCACAGTCGGACCCAGGACAGAAGAGCATCCTCCAAGAGCACGAGGCCCTCTGCCGGCCATCAGCACGACGAGAGAAGTCTGCCTGCCAGCGGGTGCCCCTGGCGAAAGAGCTCGTGGGCTTCCCGCTTGGCCCGCCGAGCCTGCCGGAGCACCGTGTGCGAAGCTCGGAGGGCCGGCCATGGCCGGGCTCCGCGAGGGGGGGGGCCTAAGAGGGGGGCCCCCAGGTGGCCGGGACTTCGCGCCCAGGGGAGCGGCGGGGCAGGGGGCCAGAGGAAGGAAAGGTACCCCATACCTCTACCCCCCCCCCCGCTCGTTTTCTCCGTTTTGGGCCTCCGGGGCCTCCGGCGTCGCCGCCGCTGGATGCGCCTGGAAGTCCTGGTCAGAGCGCGCTCCAGGAGAGGTCCGGGGAGTGGCGGTCGGCACCTTTGAGTTTCCCCAGGGGGAGGGGGGCAGGAGCCAGGTCAGAGAGCTGCGGACGGCGACGACGTACGACGTACGGCCACGGCGACGGCGACGGAGACGGCGACGGCGTGCGTGCCTGCTGTAGTGTTGTCGCGACGCCGTTTTTTTGGCTCGCGACGTCTGCTCTCAGGGCGCGGCGGAAGCCAGCGGACGCCCCCCGATCCCTAGAAGCCCGCGGAGGCATAACTGCAGAAGGCGAGGGCGGCCTCGCCGGCGGAGGTCCGCGAGCTGTGTGAGGGACGAGAGCGGCCTCGCCGAGGGGTGGCTGGCGGCAAAGTCTGGCGTTAGGGGAACGAGCAATGACATAAGTGTAACATCTCGGAGGTTCGCGCGGATGTCTCGGATCGGCGCTGGAGACCCCTGGCGGCGCCTCCGGCGCCGCCCCTGGCGTGCTCCGCGCGCCAGGGAGGGGGGTCCAGCGCCGATCCGAGAAATCCGCGAGGACCTCCGAGTTTTTATGTTTATGTCATTGCTTGTTTGCCTAGGTATGCTTTCGCAGGGGGGAGGGGTCAGCGGCACCGTAACGGGTACTCCGGAAGTCTGCCGAAGGCTGCCATTTTTGGGCCTCTTTCTGGCACTGCAGCGCTGCCCACATCGGGGAGGGTTGGGCTCGCCGGGTCACTGGCCAAAGCACCCGCCAGTGGAGTCCCCGTTAGAGGTGCGCTGAGAGAGGGGGTGGGAGGTGGACAACATCCGCTGGAAAATGCGACGATATCCCGACAGAGGTCATCAAAGCCTGTGCTACATCGGGTGTCGTAGGGGGTTCGGGGGGGCTTCCCGCGGACATCGGGGCGGGGGGTCTGGGGGCCTCCTCCGCCTCCTCCCTCTTCTTCGTTCCTGTCCCCTCGTCCTGGGGGAGAAGAAGGATTTTTTTTTGGGGGGGGGGGCCACCATGGGCCGAACCAGTACAGCGGCATCTAAACCGACGCCGCTGGGACTGGGGACGGCCCAGGCCCGACACTGAACCACACCCGAGTGGGCATGGTCTCGCGTCGAGCCTGGCCGCGTCCCCTTAGTCACTATCGTCAGAAAAGGGGCCCGACGACGAGAGGAGGGGATCCTCCACCTCCTGCTCCTTCCTCGGGCCCGCGGCGGCGGCGGCGGGTCCGCAGCTGGTCCTGCTGCGCCCGCTCGCCGCCGACACGCGAGGACCTGGGCGCGGCGCGCCTGCGGGCCTGCACGCATCCCCCACCCCGCCGTCACCACCGTCCCCGCCCCCAACTCTAGCCTGGACACGGGCACTGACGGCCGCAAGAGACGGGAGCGGACGAGCAGCCGCTGGGATGGAGAGCGGTCGGTTGGCGGCAATATACTCCGCCACCACGGTTGGATTCGCCGCCTCGACCGCCGCACAGGACACCGCCAACGGCTTCTTGGGGTGGAGTCCACGCCTCAGCCTCCGAAGGGCCGTGGTGCCTGCACTACTACGCTGCTCGTCCGAATGTGGCTTAACACAACGCTTAGCCAACATATGAATTCGATGCTGCGCGAAGTATCCACACAGCATACAAAACAACAGAGGGCTCTCCTGGTCCGCAACCTGGGTACTGGCCAGCTGGTGGCCGTGGTTCGGGGAAGAGGTCAAGAGCTCCTGCACCAGACGCGGGAACCCCGAACATCCAACCTCGGGCCTGGAGTCCTCACAACCACTATAAAAACAGAGACAATTGCTGCACCTGTGGCCCCATAACCAGGGCTCCCAAGCATGCCAGCCGTCCACTGCTTTAAAAAGTTTGACACGCTTGTCTTGCTTCGGAGGCCTCTGATGCTGGACCCTCGGAAAAAGCGGCAAAATCTCCGCCGCAAGTCGTGCCACCGTTTCGAGATCTCTGATCGAGCTACTTACTGCATCCCACTCGGCCTGAGCTTGCTGAGGGTGTAACAATACTGCTTGCTTGGCTTCTCTGTCCGCCCGCCAATTAGCTTGACCGATCCATCTCTCGGGGGCAGGGAGTGCTTCGATCTCACTGAGATCACGGTGTGCTGGAGTATACACTGCTGGCGCATATCTGTTAGCCTGCATATGCTGTAACGCTCCACGCCGTAAGCCCGAGTACTTATGCTTAGGGTTAAGCTGCATCTGTGGGGAACTGTTGTGCAACCGAACCGCATTCATACAGTCACTGTAACACGCAGCACCGTACTGGGGTACGAATATGGGAAGGAGGCTGAGCGCAAGTTGTTCTGCCGCCTGACTCGTCTGCGGTAGAGATGGCCACACTGTGCCCTTCGCTGTCGCCACCTGCTGTCCATCGGCCCCAAGGAAGACCCAAGCATACGAGGCCCTGGAGAGCTCCTTTTATCTTGTGTGGGACGCACGAGCCATCACCCGACACGCTCAGGCCCTCTGGGTTGAAGGCGCTCCAGTCCATGGGGGCGCCCTCAGAGTCGAACAGGAGCGGCTCATGCTCGTCGCTCGGCTGAGGCCACGAGGAAGAAGGGTGCCGAAACTTGAGTCCTGAAAAGAACTCCTGCGCACCTTCCTGTGCCTGCTGGAAGAAAAAATCAGTGGCCTGTACGGCCTCACGGGCGTTCTTAATCTCCGTCGACCCCTCACACTTGTACAAACGGTGGTGGATGGAGTCAGGTTGGTTGCAAACAGGGCACAAGCCTCGCGACAGGTACCCCGCACGGACCACACGATCTTCACACCAGATCCCGTCGCAAAACATGGCTCTCACCATATACTTGCCCTGGGCACTCAACCCCAAACCCTTGCCGTGAGCCTTGGTAATCCTACGTATGGGTTCAACACAAACTCGCTCCCCTTCGCCCCACCCAAGGCTGCTCCCCAGGACCCTCTCGTGATGCCTTTGGACACCTTCTTTAAGCAGGGCAATAAGCATGGCAGGGGAGTTGTAAAAGAGCGACAGCTCATTCCCTCGGTCATCGGTCCAGACAAAGGGTCCATTGCTTTTCCAACCGATCCTATCCAGGGACAGCCACGCTCTAGATATGGGGCCTTTAGTTTTTCCCCACACGAGTCCTTCCTTGGGCACCGCCAGCCACATGCGCCGAAGGTCGGGCAGCGTGAAGTGCGCGAGGCCAGGCTTAGTGGTCGTGTGCCAAACGGCGCTGGCCCAAGCTAAGGCAGGGGCAACCATACTACGCCAGACTGGGTCGCCGTGCAGCACCGTCTTGGCCTTGACCGAAACTCCCGCATGAGCGGGCGACTGGAAGGAAAGCATTATCGAACGAATCTTTTTAAGCTCGGCATCCGTGGCTCCCGTGACCGTGTCCCCGAAAGAAACGGCAGGCCGAACCCCCGCCGTGTAGATTTTCCCAATCCGACCCTTGTCCCTTGGGAGGCTCTTTCTGAGACGTTTGAGCTTACGATGCCTTCTAATCATGTCGGCAATCCTGGTCCTACGCTTAACACACACCTTGTTTCTTCCACGCTCAACCCCAGGCGCCAGATCAACCCCCAAAGACACAACATGGGTACCCACCGTTCCAGCCAGCGTTCCAATTCTGCGTCCAAGCCGTAGCGACAGGGAAGGGGTGGAGGCGAAGGTGAAAAGCTTGTCGGTCGCCAGGCCAACTCCTAGATCACTTTTGAAAACCTCATGGAGGTCCTCCGCGGCTTTTCCCAAGGCCTCAACAACATGGTCTGGGCTGCCGTACGCACTGACCGTGTCATCATCAATGTGCGAGGCCAACGCCACGTCGCGGCTGCGCTCCAGAAACCTATCGAAAGGGGCCATCGCATAGACCTTGACACATATGTCATTGAGACAGGACCCCGCCGGCAGCCCAGACGTCGCAAAGAGCGGCACCAGGCTATGATCCGTGCCAAGCCGCAGGATCCTCGGCCCTCGCCAAAAATTGAAGGTGACCTTCACCATGACAGCTGGCAGCCCCGCAGCCAAGGATCGGTCACGAAGGGTGGTGAGCCTGAACGACTCGTAGTATTTGGAGCCGTCCCACGAGAAACCCCCCCGTGACTCCACCATCCCCTTCCTCGGCTTCAGCTCTCACCGCCTGATTCCAGATACTGCCTTCCGCCGACCTGCCCAAACCGAAGGCCCAACACTTCCTGGGATGATTTTCCTGGAATCCCGAGACAGTGGAACGCCGAGCTTTCTCCCAGAGCCTAACAGGGGCGGCGCAAAGCAACGCGGGCCTGAGACCCCCTTTCGGTTTTTTCAAGCAAGGGAAAGAGCATCCAGTACACCGCTTTCGGGAAGGCTCCGATCTTCTCAACAACTTGAAACATGCAGCAGAGGGCCTCCAGGCCTTCGTCACAAAGCATACCGTAGTGCCTGACATGAACCCCGTCCAAACTCTGCGCCGTCTGCGGGCTGAAGGTTCTACACGTCGCACGGATATCATCGGGTCTCAGTCGCTCAAAACATTCGCGGTCCCGAACTTCGAGGGGCTCGGGGCACGGCGTGGCCCCCCAGAAGGAACCTAACACGTTGGCCTCATTCGCGAGCAGCTTTCGCGGGTCCGACGAGTAAACCCCTGGAGCTGTTTCGATGGCCGTGGGGGCCCACTTAGGTTTCAACCGCGACAGCTTGTGCATCTTCTTGGCCGAGCCAGAAAGCGCCTCTCTCTGCCATTGGTCCCAGCTCACCTTAGCACGGTTGTCCAGACCCGTACGGGCCTCTTCGAACTCATCACTCCAATCGTCGAGCGCACTCGTTAGCTTGGTGAGCCAACTGGCGATCTGGGTCCAATCCTGAGGGCGAGACTCTACTAACTGCCTGGCAGCACCGACGGTGGCGTCCAGCCTCACCGACAGGCCCTCGCCGTCGAAGGGCTGGCGGAGGCTGGCGCACAGGTTACAAAGCGCCTGAACGTCCTGATGGTCACCACCGTCTCGGTTCTCGTGAACCCTCATAGCCGTGCATTGGAGATCCCGAAGCGTCTGCTGGAGCCAAATCCAACCTTCCAAAACCAACTCTTCGTCCTCGGGCCTTCGTCTCGGCTTAGCGAAAACAGAAACCCACTTAGCCGACGGCGGCAGCCCCTTGAGGCCTTTGTTTTTGATCGGGGTGTCGAGCTTACCTTCGAGCTCCAGCTCCATAACATCAGAAAAACTTTTCCACGCTAAGTTCAGCAGATCCCACGCCACACTCACAGACTCATGACTGGCAGCTCGGTTAGCTTCCTCAGCGAGGGCACGCGGGGCCACCCAGGAGGGAGGCTGAGGAGAGGGGCCCACAGGGAGCTCCCGAGGAAGCCTCTGATGAGTCTGGTACACTAACTGTTTGATCCCACTGACACCTGCCTTGAAGTGCAACTGGACAGGCTTGTGTGGTCGGTGAGGCCATGTGGTGACGGTGATGGTCTTGTCAACCAACTTCGCCACCGCCGGCGAGACCGCGAAATAATCAATGAACGAATTAGCCGCTGGTGTCGAGCATGTTTCGACTGGTGGCTTCAAAATGATCATGTTGGCTTTCCTCGGCATCCCCGACAATTCCAGGATCGATTCGTGAAAGTTCCAATCGCCACCCATGATAGCCAGGTGCTGGCCCTCTAAACACTCCCCCGCCCGTTTCAGGATGTCCAAATTGCGTTTGCTGAGACCTTCCGAATGATACAGGTACGCACACGCAGCGACAAGGGCTTTGGACCACTGGGGGATATCCAACTCGACCACGATGAGCCTATGGGGAACCAGCACACCCTTCGAGCACCACGATGGCCACCGAATACCTACCGACGTACGCGCGAAGATCGCCACTCCTGCAGATGTCTGGCCTCCTTCACATGGTATTGACGGCGTGCAGAGCAGGTGCCAACCTAACGAGAGCGCCTTGGCCGTCTTGTCCCCTTGCATCTCCTCCGTAAACCCCACTTCTTGAGCGAACAACACCAAGGCTTCCGACCGAGTGAGACGTTTCTCGAGGGTCCTCCAGCTATTACCGTTGTAACACTCAAAAACCTGCCCTGGATGGTCATCAGCTTTTAAACGACACGTTGGCGGCGGACAGACGGCCCCGAATTTCGAAATCTTGAAACCCGAGCACCACGGCATGCCACTGACAGAGGGGGTGGGGCCTGCGCCACCAGGAGCAGCTGAGCGCACGCTCTGCCGCTGCTGGGCGGCCCCCTCTCCCACGACCCCTTCCGCTCTGCAGCCAAGATTTCGAGTGGGATCCAGCGCCAGGTGGGGATGAGGATGCGCCGCAGAGGCGCCACAAACGTTGCCCAGCTGGGCCTCGGGGTCGCTACAAACGGCCCCTGGGACCTCAAAAGCTTGGCCAGACCGAGTCTCCGTGAGCGTAGAGACCTGGCCTATCATCGTCGACTGCACAGAACTACCCTGAGCCTCCGCCTCGGAGACTCTCAGCACATGAGCCTGCCCGCCTGCCGCTTGATCGTCGTCGAAGCTGCCGTGGATCAGGTAGTCGAACAGCCGCCACTGGATGCGCAACGAGTTCTGCCGCTGGACTGTCCAGTCAACTCCAAAGTGCATCACGTAAAAGTCAAAGGCATCATCGGTCAAGACGGTGGGCACACGCTGCGGTTCGATTGTTCGAACTCCCCGTGCTGGCCCTGGACCACAGTGTGCACTCAGCCTCGCCGCCTCCTCACGTCGACCAACTTTCTTGGGCGGGGCGAGCACTGCTTGCTGGAGAGTGGGCCAATGCGCTTCCCCAAGTACTTCGAATGGCTGCAACCCTCCAACGTCATCCTTTCCGCATAATCGATCATCGTCAAAGCTGAGCTGTGCGTGGGCACTTGAGTCGGGCTGCCGACAGTGCTTCCACGATCGCTCGCTTGTCACCTTTGTGCTTCTCCCAGAAAGCCTCGACATCGGCTGCGTCCTGGAAGCAAGCGCCCAGCTCCTCATCATCATCCATAGGCACAGGTTCAGTGACACCATCTTTACTGTCACTGGCCGCCTTCTTGGCATTCTCCATGAGGACCTTCTCGTAGTCCTTGAAGGCCTGGGACTCCAGCATCTCTTTGATTTCGTCCTTGCCCTGAAGAACCTCCGTTGGCAGCTCCAAGCTTGGGACACGAGGAAAGGCACGACCAGGAGCATCCTGTGGTATGGAATCCACGAGCTGCTGGTTGAGATCCTTGACTTCTGCATCCAATGCTTTTTGCTTTGCCAACAAATCATCACGCTTGGCCTCCGCCTCCTTGATCGACTCGTTCTGGAGGCGCAGCTCTTCAGCGATTTGAGTCTGGCGCTTCTTGGCTTTCGCCAGCCTGTGCCCGACATTAGTGTGAATCGTGATATCCGACTTCTTGGCCTCCAACTTGGCGCGCACATCTCGAAGCTGTGCCAGCAGGAGGTCCTTCGCCGTCGCCATGTGGTCTTTGTCACAAGACTTGATCGCATCCTCGAGCTCAGCTGCCTGGGTGACCAAGGGATCCTCCTCGGCCTCCGCGCCCTGAGCTGAGGGTGGCTGCTGACCTCCTCCTCCAGCTGGGCCTTGTGGCCCTCCAGCCGCCCCTCCACGAGGTTGGGCCGCCTTGATGAAGGAGTCAATACGCTTCTGCATGTCCGCGATCTGCTTCTCAAGCTTAGACTGCTGACGTTCACCCTGCTTCGGAGCAGGTCCGCCGCCACCAGGGTCGCGAGAAGCAGGGCCACCAGCACCACTGAACGACTTGGCCTTCGCGATGACGTGCTTGGGGGCTGGGGCCCCACAGCGACACCGAAGCCTGCACGCCCAGTTCGATGTGAGCCCGCATGTCTGGCATCCCCAGTACGGTAGCTTGGGACCCTTGACCACATCCTTATTCGCCATGCGCCCCCGCGGGGCAGAATTCGTCGTTGCTCCAGCAGGAGCTCACAAACCACCGAGCCAAAATCAGCTCGCAGCAGCACTTGGCCGCTCTGAAGGTGTACTGCTGCAAGCCCAAAACTTGGGCCAGAACGGCTGGGGAGAAGAAGGAGGAGGAGGAGGAGGAGGAGGAGGAGGAGGAGGAGGAGGAGGTGGCCACACGAGATCACGAGCAGGAGCCTTTCCCATCCCCTCCACTTTGATAGCATCTCTACTGCTGTCCCTCACAACCTTTCCCAAAGTGATCTCGCCACTGCCGCTCGGATTTTGTTGTTTGCCACCCCTTTTTCTATTACCTCAGCCACCGCCACGCGTGCACACAGTCAAGACGCTGAAACGATGACCACTCAGGGCTCAGGAAGGGCTCTGGTCTCCGGGCTGCTCCTTAAAGATCTTGCTCGGGGAGCCTCTTCGTGGTCGGAATGCCCTTCCGTTCCTTATTCAGCGTTCCCCATTGTGCCACGACGACTGCAGGGAGAGGGGAGGGCCAGGCGGTGACCAATGCGGGCATGGGAGGGAGACGTGGGCGTCGACACGGCGGCCCGCGGTGGCCACGCCAGGCACCAGCGAGCAGGAGCCTCTCCCCCCTCCCGCCCTCTCAGTCGATGCGCTCCCTTCGCGGCGCCTCCGCGGCTCCGCGCCGCTGTCTCTCTGTTCGCCCCCGCCGCCGCAGCGGCAGAGGCCGCGGGGGGGTGGAAGGGCAAAGGCCGCTGCGATCAGCCCTGGTCGCCGGCGGGAAGGGGGCCACTGGGAGGAGCAGGGGCCACGACGTACGACGACGACCACGACGTACGACAACGAAGACCGCGTTCACGACGACGACCATGACCACGACAAACGACCACGACCACGACGACGACGACGACGACGACGACGACGACGACGACGACGACGACGACGACGACGGCGGCGGCGGCGACGGCGGCGGCGGCGACCACGACGACGACGACGACGACTCTAACGACGACGACGGCGACGAAGACGACGACGTCGGCGACGACGACGACGACGTACGACGATGACGGCTCTGACGACGACGACCACGACGTACGACAGCGACGACAACCGCGTTCACTACCACGACCACGGCGACGACAAACGACCACGTTCATGAACACGACGGCGACAACGATGGCGACGACAACGACGACGGCGATTCTGACGACGTCGACGACCATGATAAACGACCACGACCACGACCACGACGACGACAATGGCGACGACGACGACGGCGATGACGACGGCGCCGACGACCACGACGCACGACGACGGCGACTCAAACGACGACAATGACGACTCTTACAAAGACGACCACGACCACGACCACGACGACGACGACGACCACGACAAACAACCACGACCACGACGGCGACGGCGACGTCGACGGCGACTACTCTCACGACGACGAGTCTGAAGACGACGACGATGACGACGACGACGACGACGACGACGACGGCGGCCACGACGACGACGACGACGACCATGACTACCCGACGTCGACGACGACGACGGCCACGACGACAACGACGACGACGACCACCACGATCACGACCATGATAAACGATCACGACCATGACGACGACAACAACCACCGCGACAAGCAACCACGACGACGACGACGACGACGACGACGGCGACGGCGACGACGACGACGACGACGACGACGACGACGACGACGACGACGACGACGACGACTGCGACGACGAAAACGGTGGTGGCGACGGCGGCCACGACGGCGACGACGACCGCCGTGCCCCCTCCCGCTCGCCGCTGCGCCGCCCGCGCCGCCCGTTGCCGCCCCAGGGCAAGTGGATCGCCGCCAGGGTCCTGGAGGCGCACGCCGACGGCGCGGGGGGTGTGTTGGGGCGGGCGGCAGGGGCGGCGGGCCCCAGCCTCCCAGACTCGAGGACGCGCGGACACGGACTCGGGCGCGTGGAGTAGCGACGGGGGGGGCGGGGGGGAGGGCGGGTGCACCGAGCGCTGCCCCCCCCCCCGCCCCACCCCACCATACGGTAGGTTCGCGTCGTGTCGACCGGCGGCGACCCCGCCGCCGGCGTTCCAACGTTGAACGCCGCGGGCGACGCAGCATCGGTCGATGCTGAACGAATGGATGCGTCGGACACGGCCGATCGTTCAAGGTTGAACGGACCCCGCGGCGTCAGGAACCAACGCCGACGCGGCACGGACCTGCGGTACCCCACCCCCGCCTTCCCAGACTCGAGTGTATGCGCGGATGCGGATGTGGGCGCGCGGAGCGGTGGCGCGCACCGCTTCCATTACCAGCCCGACCCGCCCCGCCGCCAAACCGAGGTGGCACTGGCGCCATGTCTCGGGGGGTGCGTTCCCCGATCCGTGGACCTGGCGCCCGCGCGCCGGATCGGGGGCGTCCTCGACAGTGGCACTTGACGCAGCATTGACATCGCTTCGCTCCCCCGTTGAACTCATCCATGGAACTCGTGGACAGTGCCGGATGGCGGCTCCGCTCCACAGCGTGGTTCTCTCGCTTCTCGCTGGGTTGGCAGGCCCACGGGGTATTCGTCCTTCAAGCGGGCGTTTTCAGCAGTGGGCGGATAGACCTGTAGGTGTAGGAACTTCTTGTGAGGAGGGGGCTCGGGATCACACTGCATCATGATGGATACGTCTGCTCCGGCCAACCCTCCCCCCTCCCCCTCTTCTCCCTCCATCGCGACGTCGACCAACGGCGAAGACGGCGACGGCGACGGCGCCGACGAAGCGTGACGACGGATTGCGACGGCGTGCCACAATGACGACGGCGTACGATGACGACGGTGTCGCACGGCAACGACGACGACGACGTACCGCGATGATGAGGTCGTACGGTGACGAAAGCGACGACATCGACGACGACGTGCGGCGACGACGACGACGATTACGTACGGCGACGGTGCAAATCGACGACGACGACGACGACGACGACGACGACGACGACGACGACGGCGACGACGACGACGACGACGACGACGACGACGACGACGACGACGACGACGACGACGACGACGACGACGACGACGACGACGACGACGACGACTACGAGGACGACGATATTGACGGCGACGGCGACAGCGACGTAGGGCGTCGGGGGTCGTGCCACGAGGGCACTGGGGTCGGGCAGGCAGCTGCAACCTGGACTGTAAGCCGGACGCCCCCGCGAGCAGGACGGCCCACCAGCGGTCGGAAGCGTCGTCTTCCGTCCTCCTCCTCCTCCTCCTCCTCCTCCTCCTCCTCCTCCTCATCCTCATCGTCCTCCTCCTCATCCTCCCCCGCTGCCAAGAGTTCCCCTCGGATGGAGACCCCTATTTTATTGTTCTTCTCTCTCCCCTTGACTCTTCCAACTATGGGCAGTGAACCTTCTCCTCCGCTTTTTGTTCCTCCTCTTCCTCCTCCTCCCCCCGTTCCGTCCGTCCGTTCCCCCCTCCCTCCCTCCCTCTCTCCTCGCTCCCGCTCCCCCTCGCTCCCCCTGTTCTCCTGCTGCTCCTCCTCCTCCTCCTCCTCCTCTCCTCCTCATCCTCATCCATCCTTATCCTCCTCCTCCTCCTCCTCCTCCTTCCTCCTCCTCCTCCTCCTCCTCCTCCTCCTATCTCTCCTCCTCCTCCTCTCCTCCTCCCCTCCTCGTCCTCCTCCTCTCTCTTTTCCTCCTCCTCCTCTCTCCTTCCTCCTCCTCACTCCTCACTCCCTCCTCTTCCTCCTCCTCGCCTCCTCCTCATCCTCCTTCTCCTCCCTCTCCGCCTCCTCCTCCTCCTCCTCGTCCTCCTCCTCCTCCTCCTCCTCCTCCTCTCCTCCTGCTTCTCACCCTCCTTATTGTAGCACCATGACTGTCTTGAGGGGAATGCGGCGTGGGACGGGGAGTTGCGCTGTTCTGGCCCGCGGATCTGCTTTGTGTCCTCCCTCCAGGAGGCGGGGGGAAGAGGAGGAGGAGGAGGCGGAGGAGGAGGAGGAGGAGCAGCAGCAGCAGCAGGAGCAGGAGGAGGAGAAGGGGAGGAGGAGGAGACGGAGAGGAGGAGGAGGAGGAGGAGGAGGCGGAGGAGGAGGAGGAGAAGGAGGAGGCGGCGGGAGGAGGAGGAGAGGAGGAGGAGGAGGAGGAGAGGAGGACGGGAGGAGGAGGCGGAGGAGGATGAGGAGAGGATGAGGATGAGGAGGAGGAGGAGGAGGAGGCGGAGAGGATCGAGGCTGAGGAATGGGATGAGATGAGGAGGAGGAGCGGGAGGAGGAGGAGGAGGAGGAGGAGGAGGAGGAGAGAGGAGGAGGAGGAGGAGGAGTTGAGGAGGAGGAGGAGGAGGAGGAGGAGAAGGGAGGAGGGGAGTACGGAGGAGGAGGATGTGGAGTGGGAGGAGGCGGCGGGAGGAGGAGGAGAAGGAGGAGGCGGGGAAGGAGGAGGAGGAGGAGGAGGAGGGGAGGAGGAGGAATGTTCACCGAGTGAGAAGGGGGAAGAAAGAAAGAGGAAGGAGGAGAGGAGCAGGAGGAGGAGGAGGAGGAGGAGGAGGAGGAGGAGGAGGAGCAGGAGGAGCAGGAGTAGGAGTAGGAGTAGGAGTCAAGCTAGCCAGCTCGAGCGAGTCAAGCATGGCATGCCCAGTCCCACCCGCCCTCCCACAACATAAGAAGCAAAGCTGGCACAACTGGGGGCCGAAGTCACACCGGCCAGCCGGTTTGGTACAGCTGATGCGGCCGCGATGGCGGTTGCCGACGGGAACTGGCGAGCGCGTGTTGAATGCCGCGCACGCATTGCCAGACGAGTCGAGAATGGCCCGGTACACCGCAGGAAGCCAGAGGTGGCCGGAGGAAGCCCGACGGTCTGACAGGACACCCCAAAGCATTTTTGTGAAAAAGCATTGGGTTTTTGATGTTTTTATGTTGAAATGCTTGCAAACACACGGTGTTCGGTAGGATTCTGACATGAACGCGCGAGTGTGCTCTTTGTTGTATTTTTTGCACAGGATTCGCGGCCTGGGTGCATGACAGAGCATCGCGAGTGCACCGCGCGATGACGTGAAATCGCTGGATTTGACCGAATTCTTAAGATTCCTATGGTTTTCCTATGATTTCAGCAAGAGAGCCCGGGCGGGAAATTTGTACAATTTTTGTGAAAAAAACATTGGGTTTTTGATGTTTTTATGTTGAAATGCTTGCAAACACACTGTGTTCGGTAGGATTCTGACATGAACGCGCGCGTGTGCTCTTTGTGGTATTTTTTGCAATGGATTATCGCCGTGGACGACAGGACGTCCATGTCGAGAGGAAAAAATAAGAAAAATGTTGATTTTGTATTGTTTTTTACAGGTTAGGATGGGACCCCCGGATGCGGCCCCTAATGGCCGGCCTGAGGGGGGAGTAGGAGTATATTCTAATAAGGAATAAGGATAGGAGTAGGAGTAGGAGGAGGAGGAGGAGGAGGAGGAGGAGGAGGAGGAGGAGGAGGAGGAGGAGGAGGAGGAGGAGGAGGAGGAGGACGGGTCCCCTAAGCCCTTTGGAGAAACCCTCCACCCATTTCCAAGCGCCAATGTCCCGAGCCTCCCCGAGCTTCCCGCCCCGCGGAGCGGAGCGACACGCCAGCCGCTTGCAAGACACAGCGTGTCGCTGGGGCCGCCGCCGCGACACGCTGTGCAGAAGTTCCTGACCTTGGGAATCCGAGCCTTGGATCAATCCCCGCCTGGCAAAGGGGCCCAGCTCACTCCCCCCGCCCAGCGACGAGCCTCCTGGCAGAGCGCGGCCCATGCTGCGCTCTGCCGGACTTATCGATTACAGGCGGTGCCGGCCCTCGCCGCGAAAGGCTTGAGCGGTGCGCCCATGCGCTTACTGGCACGACTCACAGGTCATAGTATGGGCAGGCATTCGTAGGTATGGTGCGACAGTGCTGTCACGAAAAAAAGGCACCCGACGGGTGCCCAGGGGGCTCCCAGGGGACCGACGTCTCGAGCTCCTTCAGCACCTCAGGCTCTGGAGCTCTGCATCCCATCGCCCCGTTGGCTGTAGTGTCTTGGCTCCTGAGCTCGAAATGACCCCCCAGAGGCCAGAGCTCAGGGATGAAGTAGCACCTGAAAGCCCCAGGATGCGAAGAGCTCGTCCTCAAGGACATCCAATCGATGTTCCAGGCTCGCCCGATCTCAGGGACCCCTGAGGTATGCGTCGCCGAGTTTTCGTTTCGAATCTAGGGGAGGAGCAGGCGGAGGATGATGAGGAGGATGAGGAGGAGGAGGAGGAGGAGGAGGCGGAGGAGGAGGAGGACGAGGAGGATGCGAAGGCATAGCCGGCGCGATGCCTGTGGCACGGACGCGGGGGATGGACCTACGGTGAAGTGGGGGTGATGGGTGGGTGGGGGGGGGGGATCCTGGGGATGCGGGTGATCATGATCCAGGAGGCTTACGCCGTTCCGAAGAACCCCAAAATTGGGGGCCCCTTTGGCCGTCGCAGGGCCCCTACGGCGCCGTCTCTGGGCACTTTCGGGGCCTCTTGGGCTGGCCTAGGGTGCCTCTCGGGCCGCTTTGGAATCTGGAGCCAGTGAAGCCAGTAAAAACGAGAACACGAAACTGCACACAAACCTTCGTGATCTCAAGGGATTTGTTGCCTCTTGGAGCCACTTTCGGGGGTCCTCTTGGGGGCCCTCTTATGGGCGTCTTGGGCCGTCATGAGGCCGACTTGGGTGTTCTTGAGGCCTCTCCAGTGTGTTGGAGTCATTCTGCAGCCACAGGGGAAGGCATCTGGCGCGCCTCGGCGGCCGCGAAAGATGGATTTGGAGGCTCCGAGGGCACCAGGAGGTGCGTTGACGAGCTCGTCTCCCACCCCCCCCGGGGGGGGACCCCCTCGAACAGGATGTCGGACCCCAGGAGAGGGGAGCAGGGGAGGCGGACAGGCAGGATTTCATCAAGCGTCCCACACGCTTCAGCGCCCCCGGCATGCGGGGGTCGGCGGATCTTGTGGGAACTCCCCCAATCCCTCCTTCCGCTTCTCCCGCTTCACCATCCCTCCGTCTGCTCCCGCTCTTCCCGCCCCCCTCCTGTTATCATCCTCCTCCCCTCACTTCCTCCCCTCCTTATCATTATTTCACCCCTCTCCTCCTGTGAGCCTCATCCTCCTCCTCCTCCTCCTCCTCCTCCTGGCCCCACTTCGTAGCAGTTGTTGCTCAAGGGGGCCTTTGCTCCTCAAAGAGCCGCCCTCAACCCGTGCAGTTACGGGGCATGTTACACTCTTGGATGTGAGCCCCCGGTGATAACACGATGTTGCAAACGAGCCGTCCTCCGTCTGCGCATAGCTGTTGGAGACGTCTAGCTTTAAGTATGTTTGTGCCACAGCAAAGCTTTGCAAGGGCAAAAGGTTTGGTCACGATCTGCCCTCATCATGAGGGGCCAGGCAGTCCGAGCCACTGGCGCGATTTAAGCACGTCCACCCCCCGTCCTTGTAGATGGTGGGGGGGCTTCTAGCATGATTGTGATAGTTTGACAGCGTGAGGGAGAGACCGGTGAAACGTACGGACCACTTTCCCAACATGTGTGGCGTTCTTGCGAGGAGCAGCTGTTTGCAAGGCAGATGGGTGAAGGAGGATGAAACGAGGACGGGGAGGAATCATACTTAAGAAGATGGCAGGGAGGAAGGATGAGAAGGGGTATGAGGACGGATGGGACGCGGAGGAGAAGATAGGAGAGGGATGAGGAGGGAGACGAGGAGGAGTGGCGGAAGAGAAGGTGAAGGAGGAGGATCATCCGGTGGAGAAGAGGAGAAGGAGGAGGAGGAGGAGGAGGAGGAAGAAGAAGAAGAGAAAGAAAAAGAAGAAGAAGAAGAAGAAGGAGAAGAGAAGGCGGAAGAGCAGGATCAGGAGAACCCCAAGGGCGGCGCGCGCGGGGGCTCAGGATACGGCGCCCCGAGCATGCCGGGGGCAGCCTGGAGGGCGGCTACGACGTCCCAGCCTCGTGCGACATCCTCCCTCCCCCTCCCCCCCTTGCTGTCCCTACTATAGTAGTCGCCCCTCGCTGTCTCTATCGCCCTTTTCCTGCCCCGCGCTTCGCCCCTCTCCTTCCCCTCCTCGCCCTCTCCCCCCCATTTCTCACCCAGGTTCCTCTCCCTCCACTCTGCTCCCCTGCTCCCCTGCGCCCCCCCCCCCCCCCCTGTTCCCCGCACCCGTATGAACTTTCACCGAAGGCCGCAGTTGGCCCGCGGGGTGGGTGGGGGGAAGGGGAAGAGGGCCGGCGGAATCGGGGGAAGGAACCGATGAGGAGGGATACTTCACCTTTATCGTCCTCCTCCTCCTCCTCCTCCCCCTTTCCTTCCCACTTTCTCTCCTCCTCCCTCGCCCTTCCCATCCCCATCTTCCTCCTCTTTTTTCCCTCCTCTTCTTCTTGTTCCCTGCTCCTGCCCACCTCCGTTCCTAAGCAAGTAAACCTGGACTCGTCCGCTTACCGTGAAAACGCACCCCCCAGAAATGGAAAAGTGGAAAAGCGGGGGGCGACAGCGAGGAGGCCATGTGGGGGCGTCCGTCCCTGCCGCCGGCCTCCCCCGCCTCGCGGAGCAAGGGGGAGGACCGGACTAGGCTAGGACGAGGATAAATTCGTTCCCGAGCGTTCTGGAACGCTCTCAGAGTGTTCCGGAACGCGCTGGGAAGGCCGCGGCGCCCGAGACATTCTCTAGAGCTGCCAGATCTCAGATATTCCCGATCTATCCTCACCCGAATTTTTTCTCGTCCTGGCGTCGTCATAGAGGATCGGGCTGGGCGAAAGGGGGGGATTGGGAAAGGGGGGGTTACGAAATTTGCTGCATGCAGCTGGTTTCGGCCTCACCGAGGGGTCCACTCCTCGATACATAGCCGCCTCCGGCGCCGGGAGGCGCCGGGAAAATCAGCTACGTGAGCTGATTCTCACCCCCCCCCCTTGGCTATCCCCCCCTTTTGCCCGACCCGAGAGGAGAATGAGGAGCAGGAGGAGGAGGAGGAGAAGGAGGAGGAGGAGGAGGCGGAGGAGGAGGAGGTGAAGAATCAGGAGGGGGAGGGAAGGAGGAAGGGAGGAAAGAACGAAGGACGGAACCAGGTGGGTAGGGTGATGCTGATGATGATCATGATGATGATGATGATGATGATGATGATGATGATGATGATGA